CGGATATGCGTTTGCTTCATCGACAATCTCACCAAAGAAAGAATATGATATTGCAAAAGGCCTGGCTTTCCTTGAAATTCACATTTGCCCTCTGACCCAAGGGCATTCGTGGCAATGTGGCGGAGTGGTTAACGCGTCAAGCTCCTATTCTGCAATGTCACGGTTCGACTCTCGCTGTGGGTGTTGATAAGACCGATGCGAGGTCGAAACTGCAGTCCACCCTGGATGAGAAAAACTTTTGGGAAAGCAAGGTAATGTGAAATTCAATGGAAACGTCAGCTCTATTCACATCATTGTGGGAAAATTCTTCTACCAGTCCTTCATCACCTTACGCGAAATTGGGTGAATACATCTCATATTAGTGATTTACTGGTAGTCTCGAGACAATACTTAAAATGTAAGAATAGTTTGCCAACTGTATGTCCTCAAAGAAGTTTAGTATTCGAGAGTCGGCGTTCGGGTAGTAAGTCGAACGATAAAAAGTCGCATCACGGGAGGCTACAACTGAAGAGTTGTCTGTAGGTACTTTTTCCAGGCCCAGTTCAACGCCACAAGGCTGGGCTCTTTGACTCGAAGTTCGAAGGAACAGAATCTATGCCCCCAATCAGCTCTGTCCGGCAAGTCACATACACGTCGGACCCTAGGTTTGGTTGGACGATGCAAACTATGAGTGGCTTACTTGCCAGCGTGCCTCCAAAATGACAGCCCGACCCTAAAAACGGCGCCATAACTGCTCTACTTGGCTAAGCTTCTGGTAATCTGGTGCGATACACCGAAACAGCATATTCGCTTTGAGTATTTATATATTATCATGCGTAAAAAAGCAGAAAAATAGTCTATTTTATTGTTAAAACACGCTACTCTGAATTGTTCGGCTCTTGCCCTAAGGTCATGTCCAGGCACTGTCATACTGCCCTCTTGGTTTATGTATAATTTAATCACCTCTCGCTATAAAATTAAGATTAAATACGAAGACTTACATCATCTGTCTGCATCCATTTTGCGTTTCTATCATCCAACTAGCAGGTAAGGCTTAGTTGTTCTCGGGAAGCTTAAGTTTACAAGCATATCTGAATTAAAAGTAGAAGCTAACTTCTTCTTGTTGTTACACGGATGGCTCTCCTCTCTCTCTCTCTCTCTAGCTATCTAGCTATTTATCTCTCCATATATTGTAAGAGAGCGAGAGAATAATGATTCCATGTATAACACACCGAAAGGTTCATAAGAAAGTAATACGGATGAGGTATCGCGGCTACTGAATAACTGGCTGAATGTCCTCAAGTAAATCTGAAATCTTCTTGAGGAACTACAAGAGAAATGGCAAAATTTCCTGTACATGGAGCATTTCCGAAGGTCAAGATGTAGCTATTTGCTTTTCCGGCAACTCTACTTCTGCAATGCTCTGTGGGGTGACAAAATACCTTTAAAGATACCGCATTTCAGACTTAAATTTCTCTTCTTATGTACTTTATCGAAACGGCATGTGAGGATAACGCAAAAGAGGGGTACCTCGCTCTGGCCAAAGCAGTTGAACATTGTCGACGTTCCACGATCTCAAGACTGAGCTAAACCCTTCCTCAAAAGGCAGTTGACTTCAGGAAACCGTCAAACAAGATGCACTTCTGGGGGATCGGTTCACGCCGGTAGCAGAGAGTCACAAGGAAACGCCTAGTTGCTGGATTTTAGAGTTGGGATGCTGATTTGTCAGAACTGGTATCAAAGTGACAGACAATGTTATGCCAATCAGGAAAATTACTTTTAATGCGAGAGTCAAATCAGGCCTGAAAAAAAGAGCCCACAAGAATCCTCTTACCCCAAAGATGGCGAGGTGACAATCTATCCAAACGACTCAAGTAAGATCGGCAGAATTTCAGCCATGCAGCAATAATACCTCGACCAATATTAAAAATAAGTTGGGATGAGACAATAAAATTAATGTCAACGGTGTAAACCGGTAGACTGTATGAAAGTTATTGAATTTATGCATCTGCATGGTCAAATTTGTGACAAGGATCGGTGCTGTAAACAAAAACAATGAAATGTCAAAGTCAGTAAAGTAGTTTCTGGACTAGGTGATGTTGTGGCGGTTGTTTTGACACTAAACTTAAAGAGATAGGATCTGCTCTGACCTGTCAAAGTGCATCGCATGAATGAACTGGCATTGTGGGCAATCACATGGCCATATTTACACTTGGGCCGCGTGTGAAAACTAATTTGATGGGCTTACTTCATAAAGAGAATGGCACGTTATGTCCCATTGCTAGTGCATAAGGCAGTAACTCAGCTGGGGCCCACAAACTCACATACAAACACATACACAAATGCACTGCAATTGGTCTCCGGTCTACAGAAAAACTCTTCAGATCATTTGTGAGCTTGAGGTCTTCTTCTGGTGCGCTGCTTCGGCTGGTTTCTGCATCAATTCGAAGGGGATTGGCGGCGAAGAAGGCACGTTGTGGTTGAGTCGTCCTCGTGGTCCTCTGACTAAGAGGTCGACGAAATGTCTGAAAATACGCCTAATCCGGTATCCTCTAAGGCAAGGGTATTCTGGGACTGCGGCGACTGAAGCAGCGCTCGGCAGGTGCTCCGAAGACTCCCAGTGGATGTGAAAATGGAGAGAATGCCAGTCAAGACCAGATCGAAATATCTCATGTTATGCCCTTCTTCGAGACGAAACCAGCCTCATAAAGTACCCATTAATTGCAGGCGGAAAAGAGCAGATTCAGGCTCCTCTATCCGGTATCCACGTGTTTATAAGGGAAAAACAAAGACTGCGCCACGCGAGTTCTGGTTGATGATGGTGTCGTTGCAAGGAAGCCTTGAAGAGGAGTTGTTTATTGGCTGAATGGAGGCATAGTGACCTGTGAAAGCATGAATCCGACCGGTCGCATAATGCCAACCTTAAGAGCGTGATTTTCACACTGGAGGGATTGGATGGAGACAAAAAGGGTCGGATCTCGACGGTGGGCAATGAACGGAAGAATGAGGGCGCATCGGGGCAACGTAGGTCCGGGAGACTGGAGTCTGCGTGACAAGGTTCACATCCTCTCAGACGGATGAGTATATTTTGTCGTCTCTTTTCAGCCTCACA